CTCATCTGGTTTCAGCTACGGCTGGTTCAACACGGCGCTGATGCTGGAGTGCAGGAGGTATCTGCCGTGGCTCACCGACAGGTGAGTGCGGAGCCGCCGCGGCGCTGGGGCTGGGGCTGTGCTGGTGCAGGAGGACTGCCGCTCCCCCCGATTTCTCTGGCCGGCAGGACGTGGGAGGCAGGTGTGGATTTTCATCTTGGACATCAGGTGTTGCACCAGATACTTCTCTCATGCCAAGCCGGTGGCTGAGTTTAGGCGGCAGTGGTTTTAGGTGGCCGCCCCGCGTCCTGCTGCACCTCTGACCTGCTCAGCTTGAAAATGCTGGTGCTGGTGGCTTCCAGGTGACAGCACCCACAGGGGACCTGAGAATCCTCCGCTGCTCTCAGCAGCCCTCACCCTGTGCCCTGCAGCAGCGCAGGGGTGAGGGCACGGCGGGGTGAGCCGAAGGAGAATGAGCCGAAGGAGACGGGAGGCAGGGATGCATCCCTGGGAAGCGGGGAGAAGGGTCTGGAATTCCAGCTCATTGCCCCAGTGGGGTAACAGACTCCCCACTTTAACAGTTACCCCAAGAGTCTATTTTTGCATGATAAAAATTCAAGTAATGGGATACTTAGAGCTGCATCTGAGCACTTTGCGACTTCTAGCTATGGGAGTATTTGGGGCTTGGTTTTGTTCTTGTCATTTCTAATGTGGAGCGGGTGCCCTATCCACAGCAGAGAACCTGGGCTCTGGTGCAGGGCTTAGCAGGACTGATCACCCTCGGTAGCTCTGGGTCATTAGGGAAACGAGCTAACAACTGGAGACTATTAGGAACCATGAGAAGACCGTGGATGTTTATTACAAGGAGCAACAAGCCGTGCCTACTCTGGGTATCAATTACAGGCGCTAATTTGAACGGTACGTTTGCTTTTAATTTGCTGGTAACAAATGAACTTGTTCTTCCCAGGTTAACGCAGAGAGGAGTGAAGTTTTTCCATAAGAAGGTTGAATCTTTCCAGGAGGTGAGTGGCGATGTCGGGCCAGGGCAGAGTGGGGCAGCGGGCACGGCCCCATCCCAGCATGGAGAAGCAGCATCCAGCAGGCACGTGCTGCTCTGGGATGTCCCTTGGCATGAGTGATGGGTCAGGGGACAGCAGCAAGACTACGCCAAGATGTAGGAAAAAAATTCTACCAGGAAAGATAAAGGCTGTTGGGCATCAAGAGATGGCTGAGAGGGGATGGGGTAGCACATTTGGCCAGCACGGAGTGAAGATGCAGCCAAGCACCGGCAGTACAGCTTTCCCTTAAACCGCAAACATTCTCCTTGCCTGCACACATGGGGTCTCTGCGGGAGCCATGCCGGGGAAGCTATGCCCTCGATCCGGCCCTTATGGTTTATTCATTACCAGACTGTTGGACCAAGTACATGCCTTGGCTTTGATGCAGGAATCTCTTGCCCCCCGTGGGTAGCGCCCTCGGAAGCATCACTGTGTGCGCACTGCTCACCGCGCCGCGTCTGTCTCTCATTAGATATTTGCCCAGGGCGTGGATGTTGTAATAAACTGCACTGGGGTGCGTGCGGGGGAGCTGCAGCCCGACCCGGAGCTACAGCCCGGCCGTGGACAGGTCATAAAGGTGAGGTGGGTGCAGGGCTTGTCCCCCCCCTCTTTTTTCTGGAGGAGCCATTCGTTAGCCATCTTATGAGATATGCCCACTGGGGCAAATCGCGGGCTTGTGGGCTGGACCCACACTGGGATCAAGTCCTGATTCCCAGCAAATGATGGTCATGTAAAACCCTCGGGGCGGGGGGGAGGCCAGAGCAGAAAACCTGGATCCCATTCCTGGTTCAGCCGTGGGGATACCCCGAGTCTCCAGCCCGTTTCTTTGTCGGGTGAAGGTGGCGGGAGGCCAGAGGCATAAAGCTAGTAATAAAAAGACATAAAATCCTTGGGAGAAGAGGATGATTATTTGGGAAAACACAGACTCACGCCAGGTAGGAAGCTCCTCCGCTTGCCTACCTGCCCTCCCATCTCCCCTTCTTCCCAAGGCGGCAGCGCAGGGAAGCCAGCGCCTTTGTTTACGTAGAGCCTGAGCAGAAGGGAGAGCACCACGTGCGGACCCCAGCATCTGCATTCACTGAGCTGCCCCCGTCCCTCCCGCTGCCTCCCCGAGCCGGGGACCCCGCTCTCCAGCTCTCCCTGACCCTCTCCCCTTTGTCTCCCAGGTCTTGGCCCCGTGGGTGAAGCATTTCATCATCACTCACAACATCGAATCTGGTATCTACAACTCGCCGTACGTCATACCGGGGTAGGTGACAGCAAGGTTAGCGATGCTGTCAGGGCTCCTGAAGCACCGGCTGGGACGCGGCTCCCTGCTGACGTCTGCCCTGCAGCACCCCTGTTGCAGCAGCCCAGGCCTGGGGTCATACCTGGCCTGATGATGCTTTTATTTGCGGCATGGAAGGAAAGCAGAGGGACGTGGGCAGGCAAAGCGAGGGAGCTCCCACGGTCGGCACAGAGAGCGCAAGCTCCCTGCGCAGAGCCCAGCTCGGCACTCGGACGCGAGGCGGGTCCGGGCTGGTCCTGGGCTCCTGGGCTCTTGGATCAGGCAGCACCACAGGGCTTCCATGTCCTTGGTCCTGTCCTTTTCCAAGGAGCAAATCCCGCCAAAGCAAAACGCCAGTCCTGGCCAGGCCCTCGAAAGAGCCAAACACTGACAGGGCAAGCATTTTGGGAGAGATCTTTTGTTTTCACCTTTAGACCCAGTTCTTTTGTCAATGGTGTTGACAAAACTGCTGTACAGCAGCTCGTCATGGGGAAAGGCTCTTCTGATCCGTGCTCCCATTAAAACCAGTGGCAGGAATCCTTTTTACTTTAATAAAAACCTACCCTAAAAAGCTCAGCCTTCCCCGCACTGTTACCCTGAGCTGTGCGTGCAGCTATCGGTGAGACATCTCCTGAGGGCATCCCGTTCGGTTTAGCACCCACGCAGGGCTCCCTGCCACCTCCTTGCAGGAACCAAGGAGGAATCCCAGGGGAAAGCCTTATTTCTGTGTCCACATAGGGGTGAGGAGGGCTGAAATGAGATCCTGGCCCTGACATCACCATCTCCCGAGCTCAGCGAGCGGCAGTGGCTGTGCCCAGGCAGAGCCCAGCTTCCAGCACTTATCTTGCACTTTCCACCTGTTTCCCACCAGCAGCTTTCTTAGGGGAGTTGGGATCTATTTGAGACGGCACCGTATGCATGTACTCAGGGAGCTAAATTGCAGGATAAATAAATACATGTCTGCTGTTCATCCCGCCTCTGTTTCCTCCTGAGAGCAGCCATCTACCCCGCTTTGGCAACGGAGAGGGGTTTTTAAGCTGTAGCTTGAATGCTGCATTTCTGGCACTTCCTATTGTGCTAGTATTTCAGGATTAGGCAATAAGTCATCATGTAAATAGGAACTTTGAATGCTCACAGCCCCCAAGCAAAGTATTCCAAGCGATTTCTGATCACAGTCCCAGCTACATATGAATTCCTCTCCCTGTATTTATTTTAGTTTGAGCTGTCATAGCTGGGCACCAGGCTGGCTCCCAAGGGAAGCAGCCGGGTCCAGCACTCAGGCACGGAGGACACCTCTTCCACGCTGGAGAGCTCGGCCCCGGGGCTCCCCTCCTGCATGCTCCAGCATTCAGCCCTTTTGTCTTTGTGCTTCCCAGGGCTCAAGCAAGGTTTTAGAAGGGTCCAGCAGGTACAGACACCCCCCTAGCTCCCCCCAGCCTTAACCTGCCTTTTGTCCTCTGTTAATCCGCAGGAGTTTTGGGGCGGCAGCAACAGAAATCTGTTTGTTTGTGTTCCCCACTGCAGGCATCCCATTCCTTCCGACTCTCTTCCCCAGCCAGGCGGGAGCAGACCTGTTTGATAGAAGATGAAATCAGCTGTTTGGTTTGCCCAGGCAAGGGCTTTTGGGGTGCTGATAGTATTTAATGAATGACTTGCTCATGAGCAGACACGCAGGCACCGCTCTCTTGCTTGCTTGGTGTGAGAGTTTCTCCGGCAGGAATATGTTGCAGGCTCAGGGCGTAGCAGGACCCATAAAGCACAAAGGCACAGAGTCCCTCCGTGTGACGGCCCAGCAAGGGACGGCTGGGGACACTCACCACCATTTATCTCCTTCGGCTTTTGGTGCAGGAGTGAGTTCACGGTCTTGGGAGGGATCTATCAGCACGGCAACTGGAACGAAGAAAACAGCGCCCAGGATCACAAAACCATCTGGGAGAACTGCTGCCGGCTGCTCCCTGCTCTCCAGGTGGGTGACCCCGACCCAACGCCCACCGCCGGGAGGTGGGGAGGGACGGGGCACGGGGAGCCCGAGTGCTCGGGCACAGTTCAGGCCGCCGGGAAAGGATGCTGAGGACAAAGCGCAAAATCTGAATTTTTGTACGAGTAGCACGCGGTTTCTGCCTTCAGCAGGCCAGGAGAGCTGTAAAGCGACCATTGCTTATGCAGTGTCAGCTGCTGTGCTGAGAAACACGCCAGTGATGGGTGAAGTGTGCGCATAGAGTAACCCCGGGCTTTTTGCGTGCACCCCACAGCAGCACGTAGCTCTCAGCAAGAGGGTAAAACACGGGGGGGTGGCATGGCTCGGTGTTTGTGCATGCCTGGCTGAGTTCATCACGCACATCTCAGGCTCTGTACACCAGGCAGGGTCAGGATCTGGCATTACTTTTGAGACAAGGTTTGTAGGAAAAAGGAATTACTGATATAGCTGGTAAAAAATAAGAACAAAAGCTTTGGGAGGTCCCAGCCCTTTGGTCGTGGTGCGTCCCCCCCCACCTTTTGGTACTGCTGCATTAGAGGAAGGCTGGTGTGAGGTGAGGCTGGTTTGTATCGACTCCTGACGCTGCCGTTGCACCCTGGATTAGCAGGAAAGGCAACGCGGGGCTTTGGCAGAGCAGTTTGCCTCGCCGGCTCTGCTGCAGGCTGGCGATGTGTGGGCTGCGATTGCAAAGTGTTCTGCCCAGTCACCCCTTGCAGCATCACAGGAGCCGGTGCAGCAGCAGGGATGAGGGACCCTCTGTCCCCGCTCATTGCAAGAGCCCTTCTGCCACGGATCGCTTAGTGCAGTTGGTGGGGTGACATTTGGCTGCTGTAATTCAGAGAAATGCTATGCAGGCGCTGATGTGGTTTTGCTTTCAGAAAGCAAAGATCGTAGAGGAGTGGAGCGGCTTGCGACCAGCACGCCCCTGGGTTCGCTTGGAGCGGGAGACCATCCGCCACGGGCATTTCCAGGCAGAGGTACCGTGCACAGCCCCCAGATACCGAGTGCCGTTAACTACCGCGCTAATTGTGCGTCAGTCACAGACCTTGGCAGGGCAACACCGACATCCAGCTAACGCTGGCGCTCTTCAGCCCGCATCTGCGCTGCCCCGCGTTCATCAGTCCTCGCTCCATCTCCCCTCTAATAATGGGTGAATCTTTGAGCCAGTTTCAGCCCAGTGTGAGAGATAAGTGTCAAAGATACTAAGTTTTGATGGATTTTATGGGGAGAGTGGGCAGGGAGTACTCCTGCCAAAGGAAAACCTGCAGCTGGAGCTTAGTCCTTAATAGGCACCAAAAAACCTATATGGGAGAAAAACACTGGCACAGGCTCTGCTGCTCCCAGAACCACACGAGGCACATGCGAACCATGTTTTGGTGTCAGCATTTAAAGTAGTGTGGTTTTCTGCTGGGAGCCCGTAAGTCTATAGCCCTTGTGCATGCGAACTTCATGTCTCCGTTTAGTAAAACCCAATACGCAGTTTTTAATAAATTGCTCATGGCCTCCAGCACTGACACCAGGTTGTTGGTGCAAAAGATTGGACTTCTTGAGATTTCTGCAAGTTCAAAGCTCAGCAGCAGCATGAAATGAAACATGGTGAAGACACAGAAGGACACAGGGTGTTGCTGTAGCTGCCGCGGGGCCCTGAAAAATTCAGCTGCCTCTGTGTAGGTAAAGCTGGGTGTCTAGTGTAAAACTTCCCCAGGGCAATGGCTCTTTAAATTGCCTTGCACTGCTAATACATCTTTTAAGAGAAAGGAGACCGGGGATGGCATGAGTTTCAGTGTGCCATCTGTTCTTGGACCCTCAGCACAGCACCTTTTCATGTAGGACCACATCACTCCTTAGCACTATCACCTGGATGCTCGTCAGCAGAGGGAATCCTTGATTTGATTGTGTGATGCATGTGTCTCTGTACAGCTTGGAAGAAGAGATTAAAGCTCCAAAGGGGATGGTGACTGCAAAATGTAATTAAATGTAATGAAAATATATTCAATTCTTAGCTGGAGAGTCTTGGAAAGACTGTATTTAGGCAAAGCCCAGAGCACGGTTCAAAGCAATGCTGTATTTGAATTAATTTATGGATCGCTCTGTTCCTTTGTCAGCACATCGTATCTGTGCTGCCTTGGCACAGGAGAGGTGTAGCTATTGATCCCAGCGATGAGTCAGGGCTCCCGCTGAAGCAAAGTAATTTACCTTGGCAGGAACAAACACTAGGTAGGATGTAACGTGCTCTGAGGACCACGGCCACGAGCCCCAGTGCTGCGTTTCGGGGTGGCTGGAGCAGCGGGTGCAGAGGATGCTCCGGGGCC